GTAGAGAGAGAGAGAGGAAGAGAGAGAGAGAGAGAGAGAGAGAGAGAGAGAGAGAGAGAGAGAGAGAGAGAGAGAGAGAGAGAGAGAGAGAGAGAGAGCCTTTCTCATTACCGCCCACAATGCGCCCCGTACACCGGCTATCAGAAGCTATCAGACGAGAGACAACGAGTGTTTACTGATCTTCCTGGATACTCTCGGAACTGAACAGAGCTGTCTGTCTCCTGACCACACACTTTTGGCCCTTTAAAAAAAGTAGGTGATTTTACGCCCACATCAACACAATTTAGATAATCTAGTAGGTGGACTTTGGCCATGCCTGTTAGGGCTATCACAGGCTGAGAGGGATACATCTCAGCAGAAAGACCGAGATACTTTACTTTTACTTTTTCCTTCCTCTGGTATCCTTAGGATGTCGAGGGGAGGTGCAGGTTTCGGTCCTCTGCTAGGTGTGTAGCGTCTGTGATAGATATGTTATGTTGTTCCAGGACCTTTTAAACCCCATCCAGTCAGGTCTTTCTTGGTTTTATTCTTCATTTAAAGCCGGATTCTCAGGTGTTGTAAGCTCTAGCTGCTAGACTCTAGTTGTTTCTGGGGCATTCTGGTTAGATGTTCAAACCATTTGACTCTTTGAAGCTCTATGAAATTTATTACTGGTTGTATTCCGGTTTGTAGACGTATGGTCTTGTTTCTTATGCGGTCTCTTCTGGTGACGTTGACGGTTTTGCGGAGACACCTCATTTCGCATTCACTGATTTTTCTTTCTTGTGCCTTGTTTAGGGACCATGAAAGACAGAACTCAATAAAAATTCTCACCATTCGAGAATCGAACTCGGTTTTACTGGGTTTGACAGCAAAGCGGAAAGCTACTCCACCACAAACCTCTGAACTTATCGCTGCCACATCTCGAGCTATGCGATATTCAAATCAATTATACAAAATGTTAAAAAGCTGAATACGATCAGAAGATATCCGATCCGAAATCGATTGAAAGCAATTATTTTTAATAACCGCAGTACATTTAGAGGATGAGGGGGTTTACCAGAGAACACACGCTCTGGTAAAAGGAAGTCGGTCCAGGGAAAAACAAACAAACAAACAAACAAAAAATCTCACCCAAAACAAAACAAAACAAACAAGATAAAAAAACAAAATTTATTCATTTGGACTTAGTAAACTAAACCATCTTTTCCCAGACTCTCTTCCTCTCCCCCCCTTCTCTCTCTCTCTTCCTTTCTCTACCTCCTGTCTCCAGCCCCCCCTCTCTCTCTCCCTCACTCTACCTCTCTCTCTCTCTCTCGCTCTCTCTCCATCTCTCCCCCCCCTCTCTCTCTCTCTTTCTTAGTGTGTACTTGCCTTTGTATGTGAAAGACGTATATTTCCATCGGTTTGTGAGCGTCTCGACCTCCCCCCTTTTCACTCGCTGTGTGTCTTACTTTCTCAATCACTCAACACCTTCCCTTTTTTCACTCCCTCTCTCTCTTTCTCTCTCAGCCCCCCCCTCTCCCCACACTAAGCTCTCACATTATCTCTCCATCTCTCTCTCTTCCATCACCCTCTCTCTCTATCTCTCTCTCTCTCACTCTCACTCTCTTTCTTTTTCTCACTCTCTCTTCCACCCCCTCTCTCTTCGTTTCTTTCTCTTTCTCTCCCTCACCCCCCCCTCTCTGTCTATCTCTTTCATTCTCTCTCTCTCGCTGTCTAGTCACTGCCTCACCATCTCTCTCCATCCATCGCTGTCGTTACCCTAAGCCTACACTACATCTATCAGCTGTTTCAAAGGCCAATCACGTCATTTATTGGTGGGCCATATTAAAACGACAGAAAAGTGGGAAGACACGGATTAACATCAAGAGACTAGCCCAGGATAGAGAAAGGTGGACAGTGTTTGTTCGTGGCTTATAACCTGGTGCAGGGTGAGAAAGTGTTTGTCCGTGGCCTATACCCTGGTGCAGAGTGAGAAAGGCAATGATGATGATGATGATATGAAATCGACGAGATACTGACAAACTATACTGCATTCCTGTTCAAATCCCATATTGACATTGTCTTTGTTTCTTTCGTCAATTTCAGGTGGTGTGGACTAACGAGCCACAACCCAATTCACACAGTGCCATGTACAGCCTGAATGGTGGGCTATTTGTGGTGACAGACAGACAGACAGACAGACAGAGAGATAGATAGACTGACAGATAGATAGATAGATAGATCGACAGATAGATAGATCGATAGATAGATAGACAGATAGATAGATAGATAGATGATAGATAGATAGATGGATCGACAGATAGATGGATCGACAGATAGATAGATAGATAGATAGATAGATAGATAGATAGATAGATAGATAGATAGAGAGTTAGATCGATAGATAGATAGATAGATAGAGAGTTAGATCGATCGATAGATAGATAGAGAGTTAGATCGATAGATAGATAGATAGATAGACAGTTAGATCGATAGATAGATAGATAGAGAGTTAGATCGTTAGATAGATAGATAGATAGATAGATAGAGAGTTAGATCGATAGATAGATAGATAGATAGAGAGTTAGATCGATCGATAGATAGATAGAGAGTTAGATCGATAGATAGATAGATAGATAGACAGTTAGATCGATAGATAGATAGATAGAGAGTTAGATCGTTAGATAGATAGATAGATAGATAGATAGAGAGTTAGATCGATAGATAGATAGATAGATAGATAGATAGATAGATAGATAGATAGATAGATAGATAGATAGATCGATAGATTTCAAACAAAGAACAACATGAGCAAAAAAACCCACACACGCACAAACACAAACAAACACAAACAAACACAAAAACAAACAAACAATAACAAACAAACAAACAAACAAACACACAAATGAAACAAAACAATCAACACTCAAGAAATAACTCCATTAAAAAGATTTTAATCACCATACACTTCTTTCTAATCTAAAATTCCTTCTCTCAACTCCCCCTCCCAGCTCTCGTTGCCATAGTAACCATTCCGTTGTTGACGCTGCAACAACAAGCGGAAGGCATGGTGTTGCCCACTTCCGCTGGTTCCCGGACCGATGACGTCATCGTTCATTCCAGTCCCAGGACGAAAGGTGAGTGGGAGATTTGGGGAATACATTTTTTGTCAAAAAATTCTTGTTGTGAGACACAGTTTTAGAAAGAGGATTGCGTGTGTGTTTGTGAGTGTGTGTGTGTGTGTGTGTGTGTGTGTGTGTGTGTGTGTGTGTGTGTGTGTGTGTTAGTGTGTATGTACTCAGTT